TAGAGTCAGAGTAGAGTCAGTATAGTCAGAAGAGTCAGTGTAGAGTCAGTAGAGTCAGAGTAGTCAGTGTAGAGTCAGTATAGTCAGTGTAGAGTCAGTAGAGTCAGTATAGTCAGTGTAGAGTCAGTAGAGTCAGAAGAGTCAGTGTAGAGTTTCAGTGTAGGTCAGTAGAGTCAGAGTAGTCAGTGTAGAGTCAGAAGAGTCAGTAGAGTCAGTGTAGCGTCAGTAGAGTCAGTATAGTCAGTGTAGAGTCAGAGTAGAGTCAGTGTAGAGTCAGTAGAGTCAGTGTAGAGTCAGAGTAGAGTCAGTAGAGTCAGTAGAGTCAGAGTAGAGTCAGAAGAGTCTGAGTAGAGTCAGTGTAGAGTCAGTGTAGAGTCAGTGTAGAGTCAGTGTAGAGTCAGAGTAGAGTCAGAGTAGAGTCAGTAGAGTCAGAGTACAGTCAGTGTACAGTCAGTGTACAGTCAGAGTCAGTAGAGTCAGTGTAGTCAGTAGAGTCAGAAGAGTCTGAGTAGAGTCAGTGTAGAGTCAGAAGAGTCAGTGTAGAGTCAGAGTATAGTCAGAGTATAGTCAGTAGAGTCAGTGTAGAGCCTGAAGAGTCTGAGTAGAGTCAGAAGAGTCAGTGTAGAGTCAGAGTAGAGTCAGAGTAGAGTCAGTAGAGTCAGAGTAGTCAGTGTAGAGTCAGTAGAGTCAGTATAGTCAGTGTAGAGTCAGAGTAGAGTCAGTAGAGTCAGAGTAGAGTCAGAGTAGAGTCAGAAGAGTCAGTGTAGAGTCAGAGTAGAGTCAGTAGAGTCAGAGTAGTCAGTGTAGAGTCAGAAGAGTCAGTATAGTCAGTGTAGAGTCAGTATAGTCAGTGTAGAGTCAGTAGAGTCAGTATAGTCAGTGTAGAGTCAGAGTAGAGTCAGTATAGTCAGGAGAGTCAGTGTAGAGTCAGTGTAGAGTCAGTAGAGTCAGAGTAGTCAGTGTAGAGTCAGAAGAGTCAGTATAGTCAGTGTAGAGTCAGTATAGTCAGTGTAGAGTCAGTAGAGTCAGTATAGTCAGTGTAGAGTCAGTAGAGTCAGAAGAGTCAGTGTAGAGTCAGAGTAGAGTCAGTATAGTCAGAAGAGTCAGTGTAGAGTCAGTAGAGTCAGTATAGTCAGTGTACAGTCAGTGTACAGTCAGTGTAGAGTCAGAGTCAGTAGAGTCAGTAGAGTCAGTGTAGTCAGTAGAGTCAGAAGAGTCTGAGTAGAGTCAGTGTAGAGTCAGAGTATAGTCAGAGTATAGTCAGTAGAGTCAGTGTAGAGCCTGAAGAGTCTGAGTAGAGTCAGAAGAGTCAGTGTAGAGTCAGTGTAGAGTCAGAGTAGAGTCAGTAGAGTCAGAGTAGTCAGTGTAGTCAGTGTAGAGTCAGTAGAGTCAGTATAGTCAGTGTAGAGTCAGAGTAGAGTCAGTAGAGTCAGAGTAGAGTCAGAGTAGAGTCAGAGAGTCAGTGTAGGTCGAGTAGAGTCAAGGTCAGAGTAATAGTCAGTGTAGAGTCAGAAGAGTCAGTATAGTCAGGTAGAGTCAGTATAGTCAGTGTAGAGTCAGTAGAGTCAGTATAGTCAGTGTAGAGTCAGAGTAGAGTCAGTATAGTCAGAAGAGTCAGTGTAGAGTCAGTGTAGAGTCAGTAGAGTCAGAGTAGTCAGTGTAGAGTCAGAAGAGTCAGTATAGTCAGTGTAGAGTCAGTATAGTCAGTGTAGAGTCAGTAGAGTCAGTATAGTCAGTGTAGAGTCAGTAGAGTCAGAAGAGTCAGTGTAGAGTCAGAGTAGAGTCAGTATAGTCAGAAGAGTCAGTGTAGAGTCAGTGTAGAGTCAGTAGAGTCAGTATAGTCAGTGTACAGTCAGTGTACAGTCAGTGTAGAGTCAGAGTCAGTAGAGTCAGTAGAGTCAGTGTCAGTAGAGTCAGAAGAGTCTGAGTAGAGTCAGTGTAGAGTCAGAGTATAGTCAGAGTATAGTCAGTAGAGTCAGTGTAGAGCCTGAAGAGTCTGAGTAGAGTCAGAAGAGTCAGTGTAGAGTCAGAGTAGAGTCAGTAGAGTCAGAGTAGTCAGTGTAGTCAGTGTAGAGTCAGTAGAGTCAGTATAGTCAGTGTAGAGTCAGTAGAGTCAGAGTAGAGTCAGAGTAGAGTCAGAAGAGTCAGTGTAGAGTCAGAGTAGAGTCAGTAGAGTCAGTATAGTCAGTGTAGAGTCAGTATAGTCAGTGTAGAGTCAGTATAGTCAGTGTAGAGTCAGTAGAGTCAGTATAGTCAGTGTAGAGTCAGAAGAGTCAGTGTAGAGTCAGTAGAGTCAGAAGAGTCAGTGTAGAGTCAGTGTAGAGTCAGTAGAGTCAGAGTAGTCAGTGTAGAGTCAGAAGAGTCAGTATAGTCAGTGTAGAGTCAGTATAGTCAGTGTAGAGTCAGTAGAGTCAGTATAGTCAGTGTAGAGTCAGTAGAGTCAGAAGAGTCAGTGTAGAGTCAGAGTAGAGTCAGTATAGTCAGAAGAGTCAGTGTAGAGTCAGTGTAGAGTCAGTAGAGTCAGAGTAGTCAGTGTAGAGTCAGAAGAGTCAGTATAGTCAGTGTAGAGTCAGTATAGTCAGTGTAGAGTCAGTAGAGTCAGTATAGTCAGTGTAGAGTCAGTAGAGTCAGAAGAGTCAGTGTAGAGTCAGAGTAGAGTCAGTATAGTCAGAAGAGTCAGTGTAGAGTCAGTGTAGAGTCAGTAGAGTCAGTATAGTCAGTGTAGAGTCAGAGTAGAGTCAGTGTAGAGTCAGAAGAGTCAGTGTAGAGACAGAGTAGAGTCAGAGTAGAGTCAGTAGAGTCAGAGTAGAGTCAGTGTACAGTCAGTGTACAGTCAGTGTAGAGTCAGAGTCAGTAGAGTCAGAAGAGTCAGAGTAGAGTCAGTGTAGAGTCAGAGTAGAGTCAGAGTCAGTGTAGAGTTAGTAGAGTCAGTGTAGAGTTAGTAGAGTCAGTATAGTCAGTATAGTCAGTGTAGTCAGTGTAGAGTTAGAGTCAGAAGTCAGTATAGTCAGTATAGTCAGTGTAGAGTCAGAAGAGTCAGAGTAGAGTCAGAGTAGAGTCAGAGTAGAGTCAGAGTAGAGTCAGAGTAGAGTCAGTGTACAGTCAGTGTACAGTCAGAGTCAGAGTAGAGTCAGTATAGTCAGTGTAGAGTCAGTAGAGTCAGAAGAGTCTGAGTAGAGTCAGAAGAGTCTGAGTAGAGTCAGTGTAGAGTCAGAAGAGTCAGTGTAGAGTCAGTGTAGAGTCAGTGTAGAGTCAGTGTAGAGTCAGAAGAGTCAGTGTAGAGTCAGTGTAGAGTCAGAGTAGAGTCAGAGTAGAGTCAGTAGAGTCAGAGTAGAGTCAGAGTACAGTCAGTGTACAGTCAGAGTCAGTAGAGTCAGAGTATAGTCAGAGTCAGTAGAGTCTGAGTAGGGTCAGAGTAGAGTCATAGTAGAGTCATAGTAGAGTCAGAGTCAGTGTAGAGTTAGTAGAGTCAGTGTAGAGTTAGTAGAGTCAGTATAGTCAGTATAGTCAATATAGTCAGTGTAGAGTTAGAGTCAGAAGTCAGTATAGTCAGTATAGTCAGTATAGTCAGTGTAGAGTCAGAAGAGTCAGAGTAGAGTCAGAGTAGAGTCAGAGTAGAGTCAGTGTACAGTCAGAGTCAGAGTAGAGTCAGTATAGTCAGTGTAGAGTCAGAAGAGTCTGAGTAGAGTCAGAAGAGTCAGTGTAGAGTCAAAAGAGTCAGTGTAGAGTCAGAAGAGTCAGTGTAGAGTCAAAAGAGTCAGTGTAGAGTCAGAAGAGTCAGTGTAGAGTCAGAGTCAGTACTGACCTTGTTAGCCTCTCTGTATCTCTTCCTGCAGTCTGCAGAGCTGAATATGTGAAACAGTTCAAATCGACTCAGGACGATCATCAGGAAGTGATTCGGATCCATCATGGACGCACCAGCCTGAAGGGACACAGAACCTTCAGAACATCTACCTGGTGTCAGACTACAGGTGGAGTCAAAGGAACCTTCAGAACATCTACCTGGTGTCAGACTACAGGTGGAGTCAGAACCTACAGAACATCTACCTGGTGTCACTTTACAAGTGGAGTCAGAACCTACAGAACATCTACCTGGTGTCACTCTACAGGTGGAGTCAAAGGAACCTCAGAACATCTACCTGGTGTCAGACTACAGGTGGAGTCAAAGGAACCTTCAGAACATCTACCTGGTGTCAGACTACAGGTGGAGTCAAAGGAACCTTCAGAACATCTACCTGGTGTCAGACTACAGGTGGAGTCAAAGGAACCTTCAGAACATCTACCTGGTGTCAGACTACAGGTGGAGTCAGAACCTTCAGAACATCTACCTGGTGTCAGACTACAGGTGGAGTCAGAACCTACAGAACATCTACCTGGTGTCAGACTACAGGTGGAGTCAGAACCTACAGAACATCTACCTGGTGTCAGACTACAGGTGGAGTCAGAATCTACAGAACATCTACCTGGTGTCAGACTACAGGTGGAGTCAGAACCTACAGAACATCTACCTAGTGTCAGACTACAGGTGGAGTCAGAACCTACAGAACATCTACCTGGTGTCAGACTACAGGTGGAGTCAGAACCTTCAGAACATCTACCTGGTGTCAGACTACAGGTGGAGTCAGACCTACAGAACATCTACCTGGTGTCAGACTACAGGTGGAGTCAGAACCTTCAGAGCATCTACCTGGTGTCAGACTACAGGTGGAGTCAGAACCTACAGAACATCTACCTGGTGTCAGACTACAGGTGGAGTCAGAACCTTCAGAACATCTACCTGGTGTCAGACTACAGGTGGAGTCAGAACCTACAGAACATCTACCTGGTGTCAGACTACAGGTGGAGTCAGAACCTACAGAACATCTACCTGGTGTCACTCTACAGGTGGAGTCAGAACCTACAGAACATCTACCTGGTGTCAGACTACAGGTGGAGTCAGAACCTTCAGAACATCTACCTTGTGTCACTCTACAGGTGGAGTCAGAACCTACAGAACATCTACCTGGTGTCACTCTACAGGTGGAGTCAGAACCTACAGAACATCTACCTGGTGTCACTCTACAGGTGGAGTCAGAACCTACAGAACATCTACCTGGTGTCACTCTACAGGTGGAGTCAGAACCTACAGAACATCTACCTGGTGTCAGACTGACACCCGATGGTTCTGTCCAGCTCTAACAGCCCATCACAGTCTCCTCTCCACCCAAAGCTCTGTAACTACAGACTGTGTAGTTTGTGATTCATCAGCACGCCTTCCTCTCTCCAGGTGTGTTTAACAACTCAGACAGAAAGTTCCACCTGTTCCACACGTACGAGTGAGTTTGCGTTCACCAAACAAGCCAGGGCTCTTTAAGCATTCATGAACACCACGTGTGCTTCGGCAGACTTGTGGAGACTGCTGCAGGTGTGTATCTCCACCTGCAGCAGTCTCCAGGTGTGACTGCAGCTGTAACGAAGCAGCTCTGCTCACTGCGGTTTGTACCTGCAGCATGACGATGTCTTTGTCGAACATCTCCACTCTGCACTTCACGTTGTGATAATAATAAATCTGAAACACAGAGGCGGTCGCTGTTAGTTCAGCATGGACACAACTTTATTTATACCTCAGAGACAGAACACTTCATCAGGTGTCCGCTCACCTGGTTAATGAGGGAGAAGCCGTTCCTCCTCCACATCCCAGCATGCACCTGGGCACAGAGCACCAGGCAGCGGAGGGGGAGTTCGATCAGGAGGGGGGGCTGAGTTCCCCCTGAGGACACACACACACACACACACAGGTTACCATGTATAGATCTGAGTCAGTGTACCAGAGTCAGCAGGTGTGCAGGCAGGTGACTGACCAGAGGAAGCTGTTCAGGGAAGCGAGAGGTGACTTCGGTCCTGCTGAGGAGAACGTGGAGACCTGAGGAGGAGGAGGAGCAGCGAACATCAGTGAGTGGCCTGCGTCTCAGAGACTGCCACAGTAACCAATCAGCTGTCAGCTTCAACTGGAGACGACCACTTAAGGCTCATTTATACTTCTGTGTTGAATCTACGCCGTAGCCCGACAAGCACGTGTAGCGGTGATCTCATTTCCTCCGAGCCAACAGGAAGTGCTCTGTGGTTTGAAGTCATTTCTACTAGCAGCCAAAACAGCGGATATTTTCTTTTGAGCGTAACAAACCCAGAGACAAGTTTCACTATCAGAGTCTGATCCATTCAGTCGGTAACATTTGGAAAGTGTAGAAGAGCCGCTCGGTTTTACTAACGTTGTAGTTAGCGGAGGGCTGACAGGAAGTTAGCCGGCTCACCGCCTGAAGGTGACCCAGTGGAACATAGAAACCCCACCACCAGCTAGCGTTTCGGCGTTGTAACTGCAGAGCGACGCAGACACCAGGTGTCACAACAGCGTTTTTACTGTCCTTTTCACAGCTGCATCTCAGAAAGTTCTGTAATTTAATTCAAAAAGTGAAACTTGACTACTTTTTATGCTGCATCAAAGCATGTTCATGCTGACTGGAAGGTTAAAGCAGGAAAAGGTGCACGAGCCGGTTCAAGAAGCTGAGAGGGGTCAATGAGAGTCAATCAGACGTCTTCTCCGTGATTGGCTTTGTGTGAACTGAAACACATTTCTCTATTCTTTATTCTAATATTTCAGATATGGAGTTTTGTTTCTGTGAGCCATAATAAAAGATTAAAAGAAAAAAAGGCCTGAAATGTTTCACTTGATGAACGTTTGACTTTTTAACATCAGAAACAAAAGACAACAGATTTTATTCTTTATTTGATCTGCAGGGAGAGCATTTACTGTCTTCTCCAGCTGCTGCTATGTACCTGAACGCATCTTATTACTGTCAGCTGGAGTCCAGTTTCATCCACACGGAGCTCAAACAGAAACTCTTCATAATTAACCCGACTTTAACTTGCTGCTGAGAGACCACGAGCTCATTGGCTGATGAACAGCGGGTGACATCTGATGTTTCGGCTCTTTCAGCTCTGCTTCATGTACGGCAGCGTTTATTCGTAGGAGTCTACAAACAGAGGGTGAAAGGAAGCCGTGTGCGTTTACCTGCCAGCAGTCTGCAGACCGGCAGGTGGATGGACACTTTGTCCTGGGACACCTGGTACCTGAACGTCTCCACGCAGTGGCCGGCCAGACTCAAGCTGAGTGGCTGCTCGCCGTCTGGAAGGCCGCTGTGACAGTGACTGAGCGCGCTCAGACACTTCCTGTAGGCCTCAATCAGCACGTGCTCCTGACACACACAAAAACACACAGGTATACTTTAGAATATTCAGGTGTGTAGTAGCCGTGTGTAGCAGGAGCCTTGTGTAGTAGCCTTGTGTAGTAGCCTTGTGTAGTAGCCTTGTGTAGCAGTAGCACTGTGTAGTAGCCGTGTGTAGCAGGAGCCGTGTGTAGCAGGAGCCGTGTGTAGTAGCACTGTGTAGCAGTTGCAGTGTGTAGTAGCCGTGTGTAGCAGCAGTGTGTAGCAGTAGCCGTGTGTAGTAGCCGTGTGTAGCAGGAGCCGTGTGTAGCAGGAGCCGTGTGTAGCAGTAGCCGTGTGTAGTAGCCGTGTGTAGCAGGAGCCGTGTGTAGCAGGAGCCGTGTGTAGCAGGAGCCGTGTGTAGTAGCCTTGTGTAGTAGCCTTGTGTAGTAGCCTTGTGTAGCAGTAGCAGTGTGTAGTAGCACTGTGTAGCAGTTGCAGTGTGTAGTAGCCGTGTGTAGCAGCAGTGTGTAGCAGTAGCCGTGTGTAGTAGCCGTGTGTAGCACTAGCCGTGTGTAGCAGGAGCCGTGTGTAGCAGGAGCCGTGTGTAGTAGCCTTGTGTAGTAGCCTTGTGTAGCAGTAGCAGTGTGTAGTAGCACTGTGTAGTCGCCGTGTGTGGGGCGGCTGTGGCTCAAGAGGTAGAGTGGGTTGCCCGTTAATCAGGAGGTCGGCGATCCAATCGTGCATGTCAAAGTGTCCTTGGGCAAGATCCTGAACCCCAAATTGCCTCTGGTGGCTGTTCTGCCAGTGTATGAATGTGAGTGAATGGTGAATGCAGATGTAGTGTAAAAGCACTTTGAGTGGTCGAAAAGACTAGAAAGGCGCTATACAAGTACATAGCGTAGTAGTCGTGTGTAGTAGCTGTGTGCAGTCTCACATCAGTGGAGCACCACTCTGGATCATGGAGATGATGTGAGTCAGTTTCATCTGCAGAGTGAACGCTGCCTCCCACTCAGGCTCCATCTCTATGTGCTGCCCCACCTGTCTCACACCGGGTCCATGCCCTGAGACAGACGGACAGGTGGCAGCAGTAGAACAGTTATTGTAGTAGTAGTTATTATTGGACAGTCACCAAAACAGACAGGCTCTACCTGTCCAGGTAAGTATCAGGTGTGTGTTACCTGCATACACTTGAGCAGCTCCAGAAAAGCGTCCAAACCTTCTAGAAACTTCTGTCTGAGCTGATCGCTCCACTCAGAGGGATGACGATCAGGACGTACCTGCACACACAGACACACACAGGATAAGTAAAATAAACATTACTGGTTTGAAACTGGTGTGAAAGTGGCATATAAGCAAAATATATAGTATAAATGGTACACTGCACTACTGGTGTATCACTGATGAATAAAGTGGTGTATCACTGGTGGAGAAACTGGTAGATAAACTAGTGTATCACTGGTGGATAAACTGGTGTATCACTGATGAATAAACTAGTGTATCACTGGTGGAGAAACTGGTGTATCACTGGTGGAGAAACTGGTGTATCACTGGTGGAGAAACTGGTGTATCACTGGTGGAGAAACTGGTGTATCACTGGTGGATAAACTAGTGTATAACTGGTGGATAAACTGGTGTATCACTGGTGGATAAACTGGTGGATAAACTGGTGTATCACTGGTGGATAAACTGGTGGATAAACTAGTGTATCACTGGTGGATAAACTGGTGGATAAACTAGTGTATCACTGGTGGATAAACTAGTGTATCACTGGTGGATAGACTGGTGTATCACTGGTGGATAGACTGGTGTATCACTGGTGGATAGACTGGTGGATAAACTAGTGTATCACTGGTGAATAAACTGGTGGATAAACTAGTGTATCACTGGTGGATAAACTGGTGGATAAACTAGTGTATCACTGGTGGATAAACTGGTGGATAAACTAGTGTATCACTGGTGGAAAAACAGGTGTATCACTGGTGGATAAACAGGTGTATCACTGGTGGATAAACAGGTGGATAAACTAGTGTATCACTGGTGGATAAACAGGTGTATCACTGATGGATAAACAGGCGTATCACTGGTGGATAAACAGGCGTATCACTGGTGGATAAACAGGCGTATCACTGGTGGATAAACAGGCGTATCACTGATGGATAAACAGGCGGATCACTGATGGATAAACTAGTGTATCACTGGTGGATAAACTGGTGGATAAACTAGTGTATCATTGGTGGATAAACAGGTGTATCACTGGTGGATAAACTAGTGTATCACTGGTGGATAAACAGGTGTATCACTGGTGGATAAACAGGTGTATCACTGGTGGATAAACAGGTGTATCACTGGTGGATAAACAGGTGTATCACTGGTGGATAAACAGGTGTATCGCTGATGGATAAACAGGTGTATCGCTGATGGATAAACAGGTGGATAAACAGGTGTATCACTGGTGGATAAACAGGTGTATCACTGGTGGATAAACAGGTGTATCACTGATGGATAAACAGGTGTATCACTGATGGATAAACAGGTGTATCACTGGTGGATAAACAGGCGTATCACTGGTGGATAAACAGGCGTATCACTGATGGATAAACGGGTGTATCACTGGTGGATAAACGGGTGGATAAACTAGTGTATCACTATTGGAGAAATGGTGGAGAAACTGGTGTATCACTGGTGGATAAACTGGTGTATCACTGATGGAGAAACTGGTGTATCACTGGTGGAGAAACTGGTGTATCACTGGTGGAGAAACTGGTGTATCACTGGTGGAGAAACTGGTGTATCACTGGTGGAGAAACTGGTGGATAAACTAGTGTATCACTGGTGGATAAACTAGTGTATCACTGGTGGATAAACTAGTGTATCACTGGTGGATAAACTGGTGTATCACTGGTGGATAAACAGGTGTATCACTGGTGGATAAACAGGTGTATCACTGGTGGATAAACTAGTGTATCACTGGTGGATAAAATGGTGTATCACTGGTGGATAAACAGGTGTATCACTGGTGGATAAACAGGTGTATCACTGGTGGATAAACAGGTGTATCACTGGTGGATAAACAGGTGGATAAACTAGTGTATCACTGGTGGATAAACTGGTGGATAAACTAGTGTATCACTGGTGGATAAACTAGTGTATCACTGGTGGATAAACAGGTGTATCACTGATGGATAAACAGGTGGATAAACTAGTGTATCACTGGTGGATAAACTAGTGTATCACTGGTGGATAAACTAGTGTATCATTGGTGGATAAACAGGTGTATCACTGGTGGATAAACTAGTGTATCACTGGTGGATAAACAGGTGTATCACTGGTGGATAAACAGGTGTATCACTGGTGGATAAACTGGTGTATCACTGGTGGAGAAACTGGTGTATCACTGATGAATAAACTGGTGTATCACTGGTGGATAAACTGGTGTATCACTGGTGGAGAAACTGGTGTATCACTGGTGGATAAACTAGTGTATAACTGGTGGATAAACTGGTGTATCACTGGTGGATAAACTGGGGATAAACTGGTGTATCACTGGTGGATAAACTGGTGGATAAACTAGTGTATCACTGGTGGATAAACTGGTGGATAAACTAGTGTATCACTGGTGGATAAACTAGTGTATCACTGGTGGATAGACTGGTGTATCACTGGTGGATAGACTGGTGTATCACTGGTGGATAGACTGGTGGATAAACTAGTGTATCACTGGTGAATAAACTGGTGGATAAACTAGTGTATCACTGGTGGATAAACTGGTGGATAAACTAGTGTATCACTGGTGGATAAACTGGTGGATAAACTAGTGTATCACTGATGGATAAACAGGTGTATCACTGGTGGATAAACTAGTGTATCACTGGTGGAAAAACAGGTGTATCACTGGTGGATAAACAGGTGTATCACTGGTGGATAAACAGGTGGATAAACTAGTGTATCACTGGTGGATAAACAGGCGTATCACTGGTGGATAAACAGGCGTATCACTGATGGATAAACAGGCGTATCACTGGTGGATAAACAGGCGTATCACTGGTGGATAAACAGGCGTATCACTGATGGATAAACAGGCGGATCACTGATGGATAAACTAGTGTATCACTGGTGGATAAACTGGTGTATCACTGGTGGATAAACTAGTGTATCAATGGTGGATAAACTGGTGTATCACTGGTGGATAAACGGGTGGATAAGCTAGTGTATCACTGGTGGATAAACTAGTGTATCACTGGTGGATAAACTGGTGGATAAACTAGTGTATCACTGGTGGATAAACTAGTGTATCACTGGTGGATAAACTGGTGGATAAACTAGTGTATCATTGGTGGATAAACAGGTGTATCACTGGTGGATAAACTAGTGTATCACTGGTGGATAAACAGGTGTATCACTGGTGGATAAACAGGTGTATCACTGGTGGATAAACAGGTGTATCACTGGTGGATAAACAGGTGTATCGCTGATGGATAAACAGGTGGATAAACAGGTGTATCACTGGTGGATAAACAGGTGTATCACTGGTGGATAACAGGTGTATCACTGATGGATAAACAGGTGTATCACTGATGGATAAACAGGTGTATCACTGGTGGATAAACAGGCGTATCACTGGTGGATAAACAGGCGTATCACTGATGGATAAACGGGTGTATCACTGGTGGATAAACGGGTGGATAAACTAGTGTATCACTATTGGAGAAACTGGTGGAGAAACTGGTGTATCACTGGTGGATAAACTGGTGTATCACTGATGGAGAAACTGGTGTATCACTGGTGGAGAAACTGGTGTATCACTGGTGGAGAAACTGGTGTATCACTGGTGGAGAAACTGGTGGATAAACTAGTGTATCACTGGTGGATAAACTAGTGTATCACTGGTGGATAAACTAGTGTATCACTGGTGGATAAACTGGTGTATCACTGGTGGATAAACAGGTGTATCACTGGTGGATAAACAGGTGTATCACTGGTGGATAAACTAGTGTATCACTGGTGGATAAACAGGTGTATCACTGGTGGATAAACAGGTGTATCACTGGTGGATAAACTAGTGTATCACTGGTGGATAAACAGGTGTATCACTGGTGGATAAACAGGTGTATCACTGGTGGATAAACAGGCGTATCACTGGTGGATAAACAGGCGTATCACTGGTGGATAAACAGGCGTATCACTGATGGATAAACAGGCGGATCACTGATGGATAAACTAGTGTATCACTGGTGGATAAACTGGTGTATCACTGGTGGATAAACTGGTGTATCACTGGTGGATAAACTGGTGTATCACTGGTGGATAAACGGGTGTATCACTGGTGGATAAACGGGTGTATCACTGGTGGATAAACGGGTGGATAAACTAGTGTATCACTGGTGGATAAACTAGTGTATCAATGGTGGATAAACTGGTGTATCACTGGTGGATAAACGGGTGGATAAGCTAGTGTATCACTGGTGGATAAACTAGTGTATCACTGGTGGATAAACTGGTGGATAAACTAGTGTATCACTGGTGGATAAACTAGTGTATCACTGGTGGATAAACTGGTGGAAAAACTAGTGTATCATTGGTGGATAAACAGGTGTATCACTGGTGGATAAACTAGTGTATCACTGGTGGATAAACAGGTGTATCACTGGTGGATAAACAGGTGTATCACTGGTGGATAAACAGGTGTATCGCTGATGGATAAACAGGTGGATAAACAGGTGTATCACTGGTGGATAAACAGGTGTATCACTGGTGGATAAACAGGTGTATCACTGATGGATAAACAGGTGTATCACTGATGGATAAACAGGCGTATCACTGGTGGATAAACAGGCGTATCACTGGTGGATAAACAGGCGTATCACTGATGGATAAACGGGTGTATCACTGGTGGATAACGGGTGGATAAACTAGTGTATCACTATTGGAGAAACTGGTGGAGAAACTGGTGTATCACTG